CCAGAACACCTCTTGTGCCTTCTACATTTATCAATGCAAAGAGCAGCCTGCAGAATAATGGAAATACTGACATTATAGATTCGAGATCAATCGGATCCTTACAAAAACAAACAAACAAACAAAAACATTCATACAGCAAAAAGGTGAAAGCTCAGTTTGGTCTTAGGCAAGTCACGGTTTCTCAGTCCAACTTACTGACCAAACAGCTGTAGATGTCAAAATGGGATGGTGAGCCCCAAACTTTATGGATGAAGGACAGCAGATGAATGTAATGGATATTAAGAGGATAATAAGACACAGAAGTAAGTTGTGAGCGATTTCCTGCACTCATGACTGCCCCCATCTTATGATCATGCTTGAAAAAAGCAGCTGTAGCAACCCGGGCGGCGGTGTTAGGAAAGTCAAGTAATGAATAAATATACACTGCAAGAAACTTTTGTAAATTAATGTGTTCTATTTATAACTGTCATTGATGCTTATTGCCGGCCCTACAAAAGACTGTATACGGGGGTCATTTCGTAGAAAAAGAGGTGCAGGAGCTCATTAGCTTAACTCATTAGCATAACTTATTTGCATATGCCGAGTTCTATTCAGGTACAAGCTCTCCCTCCTCTGTGGGGACAGATCTGCACGTTCTCCCCTCCCCCAATAGCTAGCAATCCAAAACAGTCCAGTGGAGCCTGAGCGGTGGGTGTTGCCTTCTGACACACTTCCGGTGGTGTCAGGGGGTGTGGTCTATGCAAATAAGTTATGCTAATGAGCTATGCTAATGAGCTCCGGCACCTCTTTTTCTACGAAATGACCCCTGACCTTAAAGACTAATTTGTGGCAGTGGATGAGCTTTTGTAAGTCACGGCTCACTTCTTCAGAGGGATCAAGATGGGTATCAAGATGGGTAGCCCCGCTACGTTTGTCTGCGGCAGTAGAAAAGAGCAAGAGCCCAGTAGCACCTTCGGGAAGTGAGCCGTGACTCACGAAAGCTCATCCCCGTGCCATAAATTTTGTTAAGTCTCGAAGGTGGCTCCTGAACACTTGCTCTTTTCTACTGCTAGAGGGTGAGGGGTGGGGATGGGAGCACCATTTCACCCACTGACCAAACTCTGCTCTGAAATGAGGGGTGTTGCCAACTCCAGAATAGAACATTCTGGAGATTTGGTGGGTGGAGCTTGGGGAGGACAGGGACCTCAGTGGGGTACAGCGCCATGGGATCCCCCCTCCAAAGCAGCCACTGTCTCCAGAGGAACCAATCTCTGTCACCAGGAGATCAGTTGTGATTCTGGGCGATCTCTAGGCCCCACCTGGAGGTTGGCAACCCTAATTCCCAATCCAATGGCCATCCAAGCAGCAGAAACAAATCAGAGTGTCAACACTAAGAGATGAGAGATGGTTAGTTACCTTTGGGGATGCCAGCCTCCAGGTGGGGCCTGGGGATCTCCTGGCATTACGCCTCATCTCCAGTCTACAGAGGTCAGCCCTCTTGGAAGAAATGGCTCCTTTGGAGGGTGGACTCTATGGCCTTGTACTCCACTGAAGTCCCTGTCCTCCCCAGGCTCCGCCTCCAAATCTCCAAACTGGAGCTAGCAACCCCATCTCCCATCCCCCACCGGTGGCCACGAAGGACACGGTATACTAAAACCCACCCGATCCCAAGGGTCATTCTCTAGATGAGAAGCTGTAGCCGTTAAATGTTTTTTCTAGGGTTGTCAATTCTTATACCCCACTGAGGTCCCTGTCCTCCCCAAACTCCACCCCCAAATCTCCAGAAGTTTTCCAACCTGGAGCGGGCAATTCTAACCGTCCCCACCCCCCCGGTTCCCTGTTGGAAGCCAGGCAGACCTGGTAACCCTAGGCCTAGCTGGAAAAATCACAGGTCTAAGAGGCCTAACTTCAGGCTTGTATTCAGGTCTGCCTTCACTGTTGGTTGTTCAGTCGCACAGTTGAGTCAGACTCTTCGCGACCCCATGGACCACATCACCCCAGGCCTTCCTGTCTTCCGCCGTCCTCTGAGGTTTGCTCAATTTCATGTTTGTTGCATCTTTGACACTGTCTAACCATCTCATCCTTTGCCGTCCCCTTCTTCTTTGACCTTCAATCTTTCCCAGCATTAGAGTCTTCTCCAGTGAGTGCTCCCTTCTCATTGGGTAGCCAAAGTAGTTGAGCTTCAGCTTCAGTATCTGGCCTTCCAGGGAACAGTCAGGGTTGATTTCTTTTAGGATTGACGGATTTGATCTCCTTGCAGTCCAAGGGACTCCAGTGTCAAAACCACACTGAGGCACAGAAGTTCTGTTTGTGCAAGGGTTACCAGCACGGCTCCCACAAATAGCATTGAGTGGGTCATGCTTCATGGAGGAGGAGGAGGGGATTGGATTTACACCCCACCTTTCACTACCCGAAGGAGTCTCAGAGCAGTTTACAATCTCCTTTCCCTTCCCCTCCCCTCCCCTCAACAGACACCCTGTGAGGTAGGTGGGGCTGAGAGTGCTCTCTCGAGGACTGCTCCTTCGAGAACAGCTCTGAATGAACTTGTAACTGACCCAAGGTCACACCAGCAGCTGCACGTGGAGGCGTGGGGGATCAAACCCGGTTCTCCCAGATTAGAGTCTGCACTTCAAACCATTACACCAAACTGAGCTTTATTTCAGGAGGGTCACTGTGCTGATTTGAATCAGAAGAACAAGTTTTGAGGCCAGCAGCACCTGAAGAACAGCGTGGTCGCTGCCGGCCACGATTGCTGCCCCATGCTCTTAAACTGTGACGACCACGGTGCCCTCATTTTTGTCTCTAAGCTGGACATCCCCAAGCAAAGCATCCAGCGCAACATTTCCGCCATGGAAATGTTGGGCCACCACCACGGACCGCAACACCCCTTTGGAGACCTTGCACCAGAGCAGCATCAACCAAGTGTCTATTTACGAGGTGGACAAGCGGGACTGCCACAAGTTCTGCACCACTGGCATCGACGGAGCCATGACCATCTGGGACTTCAGGACATTGGGAGTCCTCTATCCAGGGCCTGCAGATCATGTAAAGGAAGGAGCCTCTCCATTCGCTAGCAAGACAGCTCGCTCCGGCGCCTGCACAGACTGAGGAATTGACAAGCTTGGTGGATTTTTTTGTTCTTTTGGCCTTCCCTTTTTCATCCCCCTCCCCCCAGTTGGGTGACATGTGTTCGGTTTGCAAATCAGCTGTGATCATGGTTATAGATTTGGGTTTTTTTAAAGTTATTGTTATTGTTGGTTGTCCGTTGTTTTCATTCCATTCTTTACCGAAGCTGCTCCTGAAAATAGTTCATTGCGGAAAGTATGAATCACTAACTTAAGGGGTGTGTAAACTGTCTGCTAGGAAATTTAAAAAAGACATAAGAACATAAGAACATAAGAGACGCCAATGTTGGATCAGGCCAAAGGCCCATCCAGTCCAACACTCTGTGTCACACAGTGGCCAGAAATACCAGTGCCATCAGGAGGTCCAGCAGTGGGGCCAGGACATTAGAAGCCCTCCCACTGTTGACGAACGCAGAAGCAACAGCGTTCAGTCGGTTCCTCGCAGCAGATAAAAACTTAACCCTCCGTCTCTTAAAAAGAAGAAGGACCAACAAGACTTTCAGGGGTACAGGTTTTACCAGGTATCTGATGATGGAAGGATGCTTTGCCTCACAAAAACGTATATCCTGGAACATTTCTGTTGGCCTTTCAGTTGCTCCTGGAGTAGGGGGTCGCCCACCTCCAGGGGGTAGAAAATAGTGAACGACAACCACAATATATTTACGAAGAGAATATCACTCTTTAAGGTTTTCAAAAAATAAATCAATATGAATATGAATACAAATATATCTCAGCACATTCACACGAGAGTAAACATCAAAACATGATTTCCACAACGTTGAGAAGAACAACCCAATAGTCCGGAATTTCAACTGGTCTCCAGCCAACAGCTATCAGTGCCCCTGGAGAAAAAAGGGTTGCTTTGGAAGTTGGTCTCTATGGTGTTAAGTCCCTCCCCTCGCCAAACCCCACCCTCCCCAGCATCCACTCAGAAATCTGCAGGAATCTCCCATCCCAAAGCTGGTAACCTTATACTGGACTTGAATGTCGTTCTAAGGAGAAGGAGGAGGAGAGGAGGAGGAGGAAGAAGAAGAGGAAAAAGAAGAGGAAGAAGAGGAGGAGGAGGAGGTTGGGTTTATACCCCACCCTTCACTTGGAGTCTCAGAGCGGCTTACGAACTCCTTTTCCTTCCCCTCCCCACGACAGACACCCTGGGAGGCAGGTGGGGCTGAGAGAGCTCTTGACAGAAACTGCTCTTTTTCAAGGGCAGCTCTTATCAGAGCTTCGGCTTGCCCAAGGTCATCCAGCCAGGTGCAAGTGGAGGAGTGGGGAATCAAACCCAGTTCTCCCAGATTAGAGTCCGTGCACTTAACCACTACACCAAACTAGCTTATACTGGCTTATACTGGACTTGAATGTCATTCTACTGTTAAGAGAATATTACAGCTCCCCAACTAGGGATGCCAGCCTCCAGGTGGGACCTGGCGATCCCCTGGATCTACACCTCATCTCTGGAGAAACTGAATGCTCTGGTGGGTGGATTCTGTGGCCTTGTACCCCACTGAGGTCCCTGCCTTTTCCAGGCTCCAACCCCAAATCTCCAGGAGTTTCCCAACCTGGATCTGGCAACCCGACCCCACCCTACCCCCTGTCGGTGGCCAGGGGGACCTGGCAACCCTATCCCCACCTGAAATTCTTTTTGTGCTGGCAGTGATGAGTTTGAAGATGTGACAGAAACCATGTAAACATCTATATAGGTGTCTTCTATTTTCCCACGCGAATGGCTAGCAACTCCACAATGGGGGGGGGGGGGCAAAAACACACCGAATCATGAGTCAGAAAAAGCAGATCAGTAATTTTTACAGTAGATTTATCTTTGTGTACCTCTCGCCTTTGAAAACAACAACAACAACGGTCAAAGGAGTCATCCCAAGACGATCGGGGTGGGTTTTTTTTTTATGCCGCTTGGGCACTGTAAGTCTCTTCAGCGGTTAGGTTGACCCCCATCGGTACTCTGCCGTCTGTTGCATTTCCTTCATCCTGGAAAACCCTCTGGAGTTCAATTATCCGGGGTTCTGCCAAGTGACACTGCCATTGTTTTCCTAGTAGGGCATAAAATATCGGCTTGATGCTGCTATTTGCAGAAAAGAAGACATGGGAAAACTCAAAGGCCAAAAGAGAGTCACGGTAGGCCTCCAGGGAGTTCATGACAATACACGGGCTGCCCAAGACGAGGAAGAAGACGAGCATTAAGATTACGACAAACGTTTGAATCCCGGGAGGATGTTCCCGATAGCGGCAGCCAAGCCCGATCAGCAGAACGGCAGTGCAGATAGCCAGGAGTGAAGGCAAGATCCAGAAGTTCATGATGAACACTGCCCCAAAGGTGTGATTCAGTGGCACGCCATAGACCATGTAAAAAGAAACCTCCATGCTACAAAGCAATCCTGCCAGGGTCCAAATCAAGAAGGACAGCTTGGAGGAGAGGCAATTGGCCTGACGGTACCGGTACCAGCATGGGAAGAGGACCAACATGCACCTGTCCACGCTGACGGTGACCAGGAAGCACAAACTGGCCATACACATTGTATGGGAGACGGCGTACAGGATAACAAAGGAGGGAAAGTGGGAGGAATGAACAACCAAAGCCATGGCCAGGAACGCCACCGTCCCCAAATCGGCCACAGCCAAATTCACAATGTAGGTGCGGAAAGGGGTTTTTGCCATACGGTAGCGAAGCAGCCAGATAATGTACATGTTCTTCACACAGCCAAATATGCAGACAAAGATGGAAATGATGCAGAGGGTATAATGAAGCACAGCGTTATCCATGGTCCCTGCGCCACTTGTAACAGCAGCCGTCCGGGTAAGGTTTTCCATACCGATGTCTGTCTGGAAAGAGGAAATGGAGGGGATTACGTCATTCTTTTGAAAGGAGACTTGGAGAATGGTTGACAGTTCCCACTTTACCCTCCTACTTTGTGAGCTCAAAACAGTCTAATGAAACACGTACAACATTAGTCAATTAAATCCCTTCCAACTCTATGATCCTATGGGGGTGCGGGGGGAGGTATTTGTGGATTTCCTGCATTGTGCAGGGGGTTGGACTAGATGACCCTGAAAGAGGAAGAAGAAGAGGAGAAGGAAGGAGGAGAAGGAGAAGAAGGAGGTGGAGGAAAAGAAGAGGAGGAATTTGGATTTATAGCCCACCCTTCACTCAGAGTGGCTTACAATCTCCTTTCCCTTCCCCTCCCCACAACAGATACCCTGTGAGGTAGGTGGGGCTGAGAGAGCTCTTTCGAGAACAGCTCTGAAAGAACTTGTGACTGATCCAAGGTCACACCAGCAGTTTCCTGTGGAGGCATGGGGAATCAAACCTGGTTCTCCCACAAGAGTCTGAGCTCCTAACCACTATGCCAAACTGGAGGTCCCTTCCAACTCTATGAATGACTCTAATCCTAGCAAAAGGGAAACTGGAGTGCAGTGCAGTCACTTACTTAGGAGTGATCAGTGCTCTCGGTCTGAAATCCAAGAAAGGAAATGAATCACCTCCATTTGGGCTATTCTTGGCTGAGTTCAGACGGGCCGTTTGCCCTGATATAAACACGTGTGAGGAACGTTTCACAACTGGATTAAATGGGCCGTTCACACATCTGTCCAGCGTTCCCCACCCGTACTCAACCCGTCTTGTAACGCTTCGCTCCCGAGTTTAAAAGATACCTGGTGAAAGTGATTGCAAACCCTGGAAAGCGCGATTCTCCCGCATCCATCCCGCACCAACAAAGTGTGAACGCCAAAAGCCACGTGCATAAGCACTTGTGCGCATAAGTGCATGTCTCCAGATTACAAAAAAAGAAAGCCGCGCCTTACAGCCGTGCTTCTGGGCCAACAGTGTGAATGCTCCCTTGTGCCTCCTCCCCGGAATGCTCCCGCATCAGTCGCTGCAGTGTGAATGGGAAAACCTGGAACAGTCTGTTCCGGGTCTTTTTTGCCACGACTCCCTCCCGCTTCAAACTGCCCGTCTGAACTCAACCCTTGTGTGCCTAAGACAATGTTGATAATAAAGCTGAGCATTAATGAGGCGCTTCCGCGTTCCAACGCTTCAAATAAATTCGCAGAACAATCCTTTACGACAGATCAGACTGGTATGGGTGGGACTGCGATTCACCTACTGCAGATGGCAGGTTGAGTGGAGACTGGCTTAATGAATACCCCCTTCCGTAATTTCACAGTGCCCTGACCTAGGTAGCTCCAGACTACTCCAATCTTTCCAGAACCCAGAAACTAAACAGGGTCAGCCATGACTAGCCTTTGGATGAGAGACCTCCAAGGAATACCAAGGTCATGACGCAGAAGCAGGCAATGGTGAACCACCTCTGAACATCCCTTGCCTTAAAACCCAACATAAATCAGCTGTGATTTGATGGCAAAGATTAAAATAAAAAGGGAATGTAGGGATTTTAGGGGGTGTAATTTTCCATTGGTCTCAAGGCAGCCTTGAGAAAGACAGGAGCGCTCCGTCTATGACCGTCAGCTGCTTAATGGGCCTTTTGTAGGACCAGCAACAAACATCAATTTAAACTTCAATGTAACCACAAAAGGAAACTTTCCCCTTTAGAAGACTTTCAAGCAAGGAGGAGCGGGTGTACAATTCTAGAAACTCCCGTTGGGGATGATTGGGTAAAAAGGATGTAAATTGACTGGTAGCTATTAGATTGTATAAACTGATCATTATTGTTGATATTGCATGGAATGAATATATGCCTGTTTTAGAATATTATGAATAATACACAACACACTTTATAAGATGGAACTTATAGAACACTTTAACTTATAAATGAGGTTTTTGCAGTGTATAAATTTGTTGTTTGACTCTTCTAACACTGCAGCTCGAGTCTCCACAACCTCCAGGTGGGGCCTGGGGCTCTCCCAGAATTGCACCTGACAGAGACCAGTTCCCCTGGAGAAAATGGCTGCTTCAGAGGGTGGACTCTTATGGCACCATGTCCCAGCTGATCTCCCTCTCTTCACCACCCTAGTCTCTAGCCCCAAATCTCTAGAAATCTCCCAGTCTAGATCTGGCCGTCCTAAACCTGCTACTGATATGCAGGGAATGCAGAATTCCCTTTGATAGCCGGTTTGGTGCAGTGGTTGGGAGCACGTAATCTGGGAGAACCGGCTTTGATTCCCCACTCTTCCACAAGCAGCTGCTGTTCTGACCTTGGGTCAGTCATAAGTTCTCTGCGCTGTTCTTTTAAAGAGCAGTTTTTGTCAAGAGCTCTCTCAGCCCCACCTACCTCCCAGGGTGTCTGCTGTGGGGAGGGGAAGGGAAAGGGATTGTAAACCGCCCTGAGACTCCTTTGGGCAGTGAAGGGCGGGGTATGAATCCAATCTCTCCTTCTTGATGTGTGACACTCTCAGTTGCAAACCTAGGAGTCATTTGTTGACCTCTGTTTAGCTGATTGAATAGATATCCATGTTTTCTGTCTTTGATAAGATCAGACAAACAATGGCCCAGTCATTCTCAGGAGTTTGCTTACAGCAACAACAATGTTATCATTCTGGCTTGGTCTTTAAGATATTTGCTAGTATTGGACTTGTGAAAAAGCAAAAAACTACTGGACTGAGATACATGCAGAAATGGAAACAATTGTAAAATGTAAATTTAAGAAGGAACCGGAAATATTACTTTTGGGACTGAAAATGGAGGAAGTAAATGTAGCAAAAAAGACATTGATGTGGTACATGATTACATAGGCCAGAATGACCTATGTCCTCTTCTTCTGCTTTGAGCCGCCCCAATAGGTTATTTCAGGAGGAGAGGACTAGTAGGGTTCCCAATTCCAGGCTGGGAAATTCCTGGTCATTTGGAGGTGGAGTCCAGGGAGGGTGGGGTTTAAACAGAGGAAACAAGATAAAGTACCAGAGGTTGGAGATTGGATAAAGAAATTGCTTTTTATGGTGGAAATGGACAAATTGACGAGGAAACTAAATAATTTGGAACCAGACAACTTCTTTGCAGACTGGAAAGATCTTAAAGAATATATAGAAAAGAACTGGGATGTAAGAGACGGTTTATTTAGCTTTGATAACTATTGAAGTTGATAAATAGTAAAAATTTAGATTAAAATGTATTACCTAAATAGAAGAGAATAAGTTACCTATGGACATAAAGGATGATAAAGAAAAGAAAAAGAACTAAGAATCGGACAGGAGGTCGGAGCACTGTGGGAAGCCGAATAAGGGGGGGAAAGGGGGGAGGGGAGGATGGTATAAGTGTTAATGTTTTGGAAATTATTTGACTATGTTTATCATATCCTAATAAAGTTGTTTACAAAAAAAAGATATTTGCTAGTATTGTTAATAAAGTTTCTATTTTAGAGCAGTTTAGGGCTACATAGTGTTTAATACTCCCTTCCACTGATCTGGCTGTGTTCCCGGTTTTTCCTTCCAAATCCTAGCCAAGGCCGACCCCTGCTTAGCTTCTAAGATCTGAGGAGATCGAGCCCGCCTGGGCAAGTCACAGCTGACTGGGTTTTCAAGCCAAGAGATGGTTCAGAGGTGGTTTGCCATTGCCTGCCTCTGCATTGTGACCCTGGACTTCCTGGGCGGTCTCCCATCCACGTACCAGCCAGGGCTAACCTTGCTTAGCTTTTGAGAATGGATGAGATCGGGTTAGCCTGGCCATCTGTCAGGCTCCTTAGGCAGGTCACACCACATGGGGCTTCAGAATAAGATAACTGTATTAGTGGCTCCAGTACTAAAGAACACGTGTACAGATTGTGTCAGGAATAGCCGTCAGTAGAAGGGCCTCTGACTTATAGTGAAATCAAACATCCCACCCCCAATGAGCAAAAGCCAATGATTATGATTCGCGGGCGAAAGCAAGCGAGGAAGCGGGCACAGCGAAAAGCCGTTTCTTTCCCAGCCGAGTAAAATGCAGCTGGAGACTACAAGGTCGAGCCTGAGATAGCACACAGTAGCTGGACAGGGAAGAGCTGAGGAGGAGGAGGGCACCCCTCCACATTCCAGATCCATGACAGGGCTACCTGACACCATCTAGGGCAAGGGAGGGACAGGTGGGTTTGCCATTGCCTGCCTCCGCATAGCGATCTGGGGCTTTCTTGGTGACCTCTGTAGTATGAATGGGAATATAAAGATTTTTATATATAGGTTTTTTCCTTCTTGATTGTTCATATTCATATTTCTCTGGTTTTTATAGATTTATTCTTTAAGTAATATTTTATTAGGATGTTAGAAAGGCCTGTTATATAGAAGGCTTTCCTCTTGTAGGTCTGATATTGTTAGCAGACAACATAATAGGTACAAAGTTCATGATTCTGTAGTTCTTAGGGCAAACCAGATAAGATTTTAGTCTGATATGAAGAATCCTTGCCCATTATCATTTAGGTTAGGTTAAGTGAACACTTAGTTTGACATAGATATATGTTTCTTTCTATCTGGCCAATCAGAGGATTATTACTCAAATTACCACTGTCTTTTGTAACCAATTATGCTGTTTGAATATTGTTTTCTTGGTGATGTCAGTCCATGTATAAAATATCATGTATTTCCTGAATATGTTCAGAATAGGCTCAAGAAGAAGATGAAGACGAAAAGGAAGAAAGTTGTCAATTCTTGATGAGTCACTTGGTCTAATTGTTTTCCTATTAATTGAAGCATATTCCCTGAATATGCTGAGAAGTAGTCAATTTTGGATGGACTATTTGGTCCAATTGTTTTTCTATTTATTGAAATAAAACATAGATCTTCCTCCTCATTTGACTTCATTTTTGACATGGAATCTAATATGTACAACACCTCCCGTCCAAATACAAACCAGGGCTGACCCTGCTTAGTTTCCAAAATTCTGATGAGAT